TACAGCTGCTGCTGCAGGGTATTGTTGTCTCACGTGTGCTGGATGTCCCCTAGGAGCCCCCATCCTTTTCAGCAAGGCAGCTCCCCAGCCACACAGGTGTCAGCATGTACTGGGCTCTTTGGCTATTCTGTTCCAGGTGTACTACTTCATACTTGTCTTTGTTAAAGCTCATACTGTTAATAAATTCCACTGCTTTCTCCACAAGTGGCTGAATATGAGCAGGTCTGAAGCAAGTATTTCAAGTTTCAAAGAGCACAGCTAATGACAAAGCCAAATCACATCAATGTAACCTGCAAGGTGAAGAATGTAGAGTTACCTTTTCTTCTTTTAGGCTCTGTTGATGCATACAAAGGGATCAAGTTTAAAAGCACATCTTTAATTTACCCCTTTTATTTAATAATTTTTATTCATTTCTGGATTAATGAAGCAGGTTAGTGACTCTGTTTCTATTCTCCCCATCATACAGTTAGCCCTGCCATTCTGTGAACAGACCACTATCAGGGCTTGAAATTTATGATTAGAATAAGAACTATAAAATTTTGACTGCCTCAGAAAGAATTGCTTCCAAAATTGCTAAACTTGCAGCATGACCCATAAAAAATTCTGCCTGATAATAAATATGTTATGTGATAATACTTCCATTTCTAATAATATAACCAAGGTGTTAAGGAAATCTGGTGGTTAAATTGTTGAGGGTAATGTTATATTCCATAGGGTTTACTAATCCTTCAGACTATATCTTCTGCAAGCAGTTACCACTCTCAGATCAGTTCTGGCATTTTGATATGCAGTAAAAGCATTTATTCAGCTTGAGAGCTGTAAGTTGCGATTTTTTAAAGACTTCTGAGTTTTGTAGCACATTTTAAGGACACCAAACAGTAATACATCTGAATATAAAACAAGTGCTTTATAAATTGCTTTATCACACTTCAAAGCAGCATTGCTAGCAGGATTGCCAAATTCAACTGCAAAACTTGCCAATTTGGATCATGTGAAGGCAGGTGTGAGATTACAGCTGTAATAAAACTGAAATTGAATACTGGTAGCTGAATTTGTAGTAGGCAATTGATTTGATTTATATAACATAAGCCACATGAGGAGAGATATGTAGGTCAGCATCTTCAGCTGGAAACAGTGGTTAGAAGAATTGTGGTAGGTGGCTGGAAATATTGAGTTAGTAGCTGTTCAGCCTGGTGCAGTGTAAGTACATTCGTGTCAAACTTGTTTGGGGAGACACCATTTGCAGCAAGGAAAAACTGGTCAATTATAACCAATGCCACTTGTGCCACGGAAATTGTTGCTAAAATTAGCATAAGAACCTCGACCATATGGAGTTTCCCAAGGCAAGAACTGGTACATTAGTTACGAGCACATTTTCAGCCTGCAAAATACTTGAGGTGTGTAAATACACAAATTAGTGATTAAACACTTTCTGTGGTAATAGAACAATGTTTTACAAAATGCAAATGGTAAATGATCCAATTCAAAAAATCAGAGGAAGCACAGTCAAATTAGCCTGCAGAGTTGTTTTCAATCCAAACAGCCTCTTAGATCACAAAAGAAGAAGAAAATCCAAAATAAAGCACACACCTCATAATTAAAAATATCCAAACTAACAACAACAACAAAACAAAAAACAAATCAAAAAACCAACCAAAAAAACAACTAAACAAAGAAAAAATCAAAAACACAACCCCTCCCAGCAAAACACAACATAAAAACCCAGCAAACAAACCCCCTACTTTAATGCTAAGAAAAGTGTGTCCATTTTTTAATTTTTTTTTTTACAAGGAGTGAACTAATGACCTGGCAATTCTGACATTAGTTGGAGGTTTGATAATAACAAGCACAAAATGAGAATCATGCTTTTAAAAAGTAAAAAAAAAAGATTAAGCATACAGAAATTACTTTGTCAGAGAGTTTCCCTTTGCCATTCCCAGGAAAGCACATGAACTTTTGTCCAAGTTATGAACTTCTGGAAACTGCAGCCAGTCGTGGCCAGTATAAACATTGCAGGGCTTATGAGCAAAAATTTCTAAAATCTTTATTTTTACAAAATTAGCTTGAATATCTTAGGCATACTAAGACTCTGCTGATGTGAACCAATGGAAAATGCTTTTTCTTTTACTTTATCTGTAGTTTGACCTGATCCTCTGGTGCAGGAAAGAGAAGGAAGCAAAAATCCTGAAACAGAATATGAAAAGTAGCACAATATTTCCGTTATTATTTATTTCTGCAGCAATGCAATTCTATGGACAGGGAGGAGAGAATTAGAAATGTGTTTTGAAAAAAGTTCATTATTGGACAGCAAAGTTTTTGATGAGGGTGAGTGGCTAGTATAGATGATTTAGGAGAAGACATTTTGTTGGGAGAAAAAGTCAGTGAGGTAAGCTAGGAGTTGTGTTTCTGATAAATGTGAGTTTCTACAGTCAAGAGTTAATATACAGCTGGTATAAGAGTCTCATGAATGAAAGAATAACCCTTGAACTAAAAGGAGAAAACTTAATGCAAATACATGTAAAAGAAAACAATGCACTAGGAATCTGAATGAGTTTGTAGTGGGCAAAGTGAGAAATAATTTTTGTAGCAAAGCAAAACTAAGACTCTAAATAAATCAGAGAAAGAAAAAATTATTATGTCTCCAAAAATGACCATTCAATAGAATTTATTTTGTCATAATACTCAGCCTAATATATAATGTCTTAAAAAATTTAGACTCGTGGCTGTTACTTACTAAGCACATGATGATTACCATTAGGCCATCTTATAGCCTGACAATTCTGAGAAACAAACAGAGCCAGACAAAAAAGAATAAGAACTTCAGTTGAAGAGAGGAAAGAAAAGTGAATTTGATAAAAATGTTCGGTTGCAATGGCACCAAAGGATATTATCATAATAAAAAGCATAAACTACCACTCTGACTGGGACTGGGAAAGTAGGTATTTTCAATAAGGAAAAAACCCTGGATTTATCGAGGAAAGGGGGTTGCAGACATTATGGATGGGGTATTTTTTTTTATTTAATCAAGCACACAGCACTGCTTCTAATGATACAATATTTCAACTTTACTTGTCTTTCTGACATCTAATAAAAACTCACATTACTGTTACTGAAATAACCTTTATTGTTTCTTATTATGGCACCTTCCTTACCTGTTGAATAGTTGCAGTTTAATGTGACAGAGATGTAGAGGGTAAGGCAAACATTAGTCTGCCACTATCTTTTATGTTTGACAGCAGCTGGCTCACCAGTCCCTGTATGTGTTGTTTATGGCTTAGATGTGTGACTTTGAGGATGGAGAGGAATTAATTTCTTGTGGTGAGAGGGTGTAGCAGACATGGGAAGCAATCCTTACAATATTTTGATGGTCATGGGATATAATTTTTTCCCAGTTTTATACAAAATTTTATATCATGGTTCATTTGGACATGACTGGGACTTGTAGGTAGTACTGCCAAACAGTAACTGATAATAATAAAATGATCCTTTCTGAAGATCTATAGCTATGAGCTTTTAAAAAGTCTTGAGACTGCTAAAAGAAACCTTATGGCATTATAATTCATATATTACAAACTCCTGCAGAAAAAACAAATTAAGATGGGGTGAGGAGTCAGGGTTGAGAAATGACTAAATTTCAAGTTAAAAGACTTCATTCGAGAACCAAAACATAAATTCGAATAAGGTGAGGGCAAACTCAAGACAGTGTTTATTCTAAGCATGTGCAAATCTCTTTTTGATGCTGTCTTCAGAATGATGCAGCAGCTAAATGTATTATACCCCTGGGAAGCATAAAACTTAGGGCCTGGTTCTCCTCACTACATAATAAGAATGGTGAAAAGCAGCCTTAAAGTAGGTATAAATTGCATTTTAGTCTTCTTTATGGCTCAGCAGTGGTAGAAAGGAGCCTCAATGGAAATGAGAATCAGGTCCCCAGTATTTATTTAACCCTTGGGCTTTGTATATCATTTTATTTGCACCTTTAAGAGATTTGCAGAGGGATTTTTAATCAGGATTCGGTGTACAGAAAGCTAAATGTTTTCATTGCCTTACAAGTAACTTTAATCATACAGGCAGATCATTCTCTTTATTTCTCAAGAGGAAATGGTAGAATTTTCTGCCTTTGTACAAACCAAGCTAAATGTTTCTGACACCCTTAGTACAGTGTCAATTGGAAATTCACATTTCATGTAATAACAGACCATTTTAATTTCATGAGCTGAAGAATTGGTTTCCACGTGCAAATTGTACTGAAGAAAGCAATATTGTCAGAAGAACTGGCAGAGTGCTTCAAGAGATAAATCTATTAAATTAAATAAGAGGCTTTCATTACCTTTTACATTGCATTTCCATATAACATAAGCATTAATTAAACTATTCACTGCTTTCTCCTATTCAGCAGAGCACTTGCTCAGTCTGACAAGAAATGCTGTCCAAGAAAACCCAAACACAATCATTAAAATACACTTAAGAAGAGGGGGAGGAAGGGGAGAAGGGAACAATGTTTTGGTGCACTTGGGCAAGTGGGACCTGTCTACAAAAATGTATCATTTCTGTTCTTCAGGTTTTGACAACATAGTTTTTGTTTTGCAATTTTTGACAGTTCCAGAGGCTTGTAATAGGTCATCTCACTAGATATTTCTCCAGGCAGTTTGAAAACAAACAGAACGCAAGCAATTGTTTTTTTTCAAATTTTAAGTATGCTTCAGTAAATGTGGAAAGCTTCTTCAGCATGGGAGAACACTTTTGGTGTGAGGCAATTTTACTTTTTAAACTATAAAAACAACTCTGCAAAGTGTCTTCTCTCCCCTTCGAGGAATACCCAGCTATAGCAAAGTTGTTGATACAAATTCAAGATGTTTCCTGTCAAGCTCTTCAGGTCTAGCCTTAAAGAGCTCCCTGGGTAGCCCACCAAAACTGAAGACCCTTTTTTTTTTTTTGGTTCTGGCACATTTCTATCAGTTTTCAAATATTTCTAATTTCTTCTTTTATCGTGATTCCAGGGGAACATTTGAGAATCTGCCCTCAGGAATATACATGCTGCACCTCAGAAATGGAGGACAAGTTAAGCCAACAGAGCAAACTGGAGTTTGAAAACTTGGTGGAGGAGACAAGTCACTTTGTACGCACGACTTTCGTATCCCGGCACAAGAAGTTTGATGGTAGGCTGGATATAATTTACTTTTTTTCAAGGTTATGGGATTTAAAAGCCATAATATCCATAATAAATTCCAATGCTCTATTCTTTACAATTAGATATCACATTTGCAGTTTTCAGTTTTGCTAAGATAAGGGTTAATATACAGCTGGTATGCTTATCAGCCTTGTGAGTATTGCCTTTAATTACAATGACATCAAGAATCAGACTGTTAAGTGCCTGCAGGCTTGGCTAATGTTGAAAAAAGAGATTAGATATGCATAGAGAGGTTTATAATTTTTGTCTCCTAGTTTCAAATGCAAAATTTAGGTTTGTAATTATGTTCACTGTTGCAAGATGAACGGTGGATCTCCCATGATTTTTGTTATTGCAGAGCAGTGTTTGTGTAGTCTGCCTTTTTATAGCCTTAAGGCTGTTTTTTTCCTGCATGATTTTCTTGTGATGTACAGAGGCTCTAAGAGGGCTCCTGGCTTCCAAACACTAAGGTCTCGAGTTGTGTTTGAGAGAGATTATCATACAAACCACTTAAGCAGTTGATTGAACACATCTTTTCTACCTAGAAAGAACAGAAAAGAACAGTTTGAGGGCCTTATTTCCTTTTGATCAGCCTTTATAAGATCTTTTCAAGATCAAGGTTATGGTGTGACAATTTGCTAAGTGTTTGTCTGAACATTAAGCTGTTTTTATGGTTATGTCCAAGTTTTCAAATCATGGTTTTATCTAAATATGAAATCTGTATTTGTATTGAAAGTGTCACCCTGAGCATTTCTGCATATGTGTAAGTTGAAAAGAGTCTGGCATTAAGAGGTGTAAATCAGCATTGCAAAGAGAATTGCAGAGCTGCATGTAGGTGGAAATCCTGCAAATAGGTGGGTAAATCTGGCTAACCTCAGGTAATGGATCATATGCACACATTTAGGAGAATTGTGGAAGTGTTATCTCCAAACTTGGAAGCTTGCTTCAAAACTCTTCGATCCCATTCAGAAAGAAGTGAAGATGACTCTAACTCCTTAGGGTAATTCTGTATTATTATCCAATTAAAGAGTTTTTTTTCTAATATTGATTCTCTCAATGTGACACAGAAGAAAAAATGAATTATAAGAAAAAGGAATGGAAAAAGTGTAATATGAAGATGAGCTGGAGGAAAATCTCTAGCAGATCAGATGCTAATGTAATTTAGAGAATGTCCTTGGAAGGTGGGGATGACTGTGCACTGCTCTGAGTTATGATGACTTCCCTTTTTAATGTAAAAGCATAATTTTTTTAAGTAGTGGATTTTAAAAAAGTAGCTGTTTTCAAAGGATCTTAAAAATAAAAAATCTGGAATTTGTGTGTAACATTACAAAATGAGTGTGCCAGCAGAACAGACATTTCAAACCATCTCGAGCATGCACAGGGCTTTTTATTCCTGGAAGGAAACCGGGGTGATCACTGAACTGGTGTTCAGTGACCATGTGGCACACTGAAAACACTGGGCTCATTGACCACAGAGTTCAGACAGCACTTTGCTAAATCTTTGTCAACTTCAGGCCTCTCTGTATTGCATTGAGTTTAAAGGCATTACAGCTTTTTCAGTAATCTGAAGTTCTGTGTCTTAATACTGATGGTAAGGTACGGCTTAAGGTTCCTGATTGGGCGTAAATACTCCCCTCTGGGATCTGCTCCACAGAAAATTGGAATAAAAGACTAAGTTGTTTCTTCTATCTTATTATTGATGTTTTAAAGGGAATTTGCAATGTGATGTCTTATCAGAGAGCATTTGAACTTTGTGTATGCTTTCAGAATTTCAATGCTATTTTAAAGCTATTCAAAATTTGTTCACTTGTATGGAAAAATTGCTTCTTTCCAGAAGGGCAAAGACATTAATGGAAATATATATTCACCTAATAGGCTTTCAGTGTAAAAGCAGCTAGCTTTCTTGCAGTTTAAAATGCTATGATGCTTTTCAGTATAAAGCAATAGCTAAGGTCCGTGTTTTAACTGTTTGAGCATAATCTATTTTTTGTTGTTGTTGTTGTTTTTTAATTTGGTACTGTGATTGCACAAAGGAATTCTGATGCATGATTCTGCCATTTAATGCTAGTACACCACAAATAGCAAAACAGATACAGCCAATTGTGATGATTTTATGGAAGTTTTGCACAGTACCTGTGTTTGTCAAGAGTAGCATATGCAAGTAATAAAAGAATATATGAATATCTAAGTAATGCTGGGATAGATATTAGTGTTGGTCCCTTGAGGAGTTAATTTCAACTCTAGTTGCTGCCAAGCTCTTTTTTTGTTCAGACATTCATATAATTTTGAGAACTCTTGAAAGGACATCAAAGGGATATCTTGTAGATTTTACAGGGTTTTTTCAATGCTTTACTAGACATCTTAGGGTAATACTAAGTTTTGCAACATAAGATTTTCTAGAGGTGTGTGAGCTCTTTAGAATTTTCATCTGACCTTCATAAGCCTTATCGTTCTTAATTTTTTTTCTGCCTCACAACCATAGAGCTTAGATATGATAACTTAAGCATAGATAGGATGTTATGATTTCCATTTTGAGAGGCAATTTGAGATCTGTTTTCCTTTCCAGGATTTTTTCCCGGATTCCTATTCATGATTTAATCTAAAAGGAAACTCAATCTGCTGTAACTTGAACATTGTCTCTTTAGCCTCTCATGAGACAACACTTTTACACAGGATCACAGAATCTGAGCATGGCTGAGATGTGATGGGGATGGCTTTGTCAACCCTCCTGCTCCAAGCAGGCTCAGCTATCACAGGTCACCCAGAACCATGTGCAGCCGTATTTTTAATATCTCCACGGATCGAGACTGCACAGCATCTTCGAGCAACTTGTGCTGATGATTGACCATCTTCACAATAAAGTGTTTTCTTGTGTTTACATGGAATCTCCTGATTTGTTTTGTTTTGGTTTTCTTAGTTTTTACCCACTGCTGTCACTGGGCTATATATCCCCCCACTGGATATTTATGCACATTGATGAGATTCCCTGCTCATTCTCTTCTCTGGGCTGAAGAGTCCCAACTCTCTCTGCCTCTGCTTTTAGGTCAGGTAGCCCAGTCCCCTGCTCATCTTACTGCCCCTTGCTTGGATTGCACCAGTGTGTCCATATATCTCTTGTACTGGGAAGTGGAGACCTTGATGTAGTTCTCCATGTGTGGCCTTATCAGTGCTGAGCTGAGATGAAGATTCCCTTCCCTCAGCCTGCTGGCTGCCTATATAATTTCTGTGTCAGTTTTATATTTTGTTTCACCTGAACTGTGGTACTTCCAAATCTATACAAGAAATAAATGTCTGTAATGGTTAAAAGCAGTAGCAGCTAAAGATTAAATTTGTAACAGAGAACTTTAGAAATTACTAAACTATTTGGAACCATCTATGATCAGAAAAATTATACCTTTCTTTTAATTGCCTATCAGTTCTTGCATCTTTAAGCCCTTTATAATCTTTCATTTCTTATTCATTTGTACTCCACATTTCTAAAGAGCTGTCACTGTAAAGGGACTTTTGACTGCTCCATTCTTCCAGACTCATTTATTCCTCATAGTATATGAAATTCAAAGATGTCTCAGAACCAAAGATCTGACAATATAATTCTTCCTCCAGTTTCCATGTTCTAGACAAGTGGTGTGCATTAGCATAAGTCACTGCACCACATAATGCCAGCTGCCAGTTGTTTCTTGGCTGAGCCTTATGTGCAGATGTTTACATCTGTATTGCCATCATCTGCATATTTGTCATTGCATTGACATACTGGATGGTCATTTCAAGCAAAATCAGTATCTGGGATTTCACTAATAGATGTGTGAGGATCCAAAGAATCTTCTCCTAAGAATCTTGCCAATTAAATAAAGCCTTGATATAAGAAAAGTTCTTATGAAACAACAAGTGCTCGATGGTCCTGGCAGAGAGTGCAATACCTCTTTCAGCAATGGGACACACATACCCTTCCAAACACTAGGAGGAGAAACAAAAAGCCTTTCCAGCAGACAGGAAACACACAGGAAGTGAAGAATCCCAGCAGATACATTTTTTTCTCTTACCTCAAGACTTTGTGTAAGACTAACCCATATGAGCAGACACTTAATGATCAGCTGTTTCCTTCTCCTAACAACAGACAAGTAATCATGCTCCACTTCTTGGACCTCCACTGTATACCTCAAAGCAGCTTAAAATATATTATGCTCCTAGTGTAGCTGTAATAGTATCATCTTATTATCACCAATTCCCTTGCATAGTGACATTGCTGAGCAGCTGTTTCACACACAAGCCAATTTCTTTTAAGTATTGCTCCATCAGCAATTGAAACCAGCCCGGCCGGAAGGTTTTGTCATGAATGTTAATGAGGACACAAGTAGCTGTTCTGTGACATTTTCTCACTAATCCTTTGAATAAGCATAGGGAAAAAATATGACAAAGAGTTTTAATTTAAGCTAAATAGATCAGAACCTGATAAAAGACACAGTGTCTCCTCATTCTCATTAAAAATTACGCTAGCAGTCTTAGCAGTGGTGTTAAAAATGAAGGAATGTCTAAGAATAGCTGTCATGGACTTGAATGGATATGGATAGCCTTCAGCAGAATGTGTGAGGCATGATGCCTTTTAAGGAAAATAATCTGAATAGCCTAAGGACCAATCTGCAGCTGCATTGATCTATCATACAGTGTCATCGTTCCCTGTGCCCCTTTTATTTGCAGTCTAGGAGAACAGTGATCCATACCCATTAGTGCTGCTCATATATATCTTACAGTCATTACCAGCAGTAGTGGTGTAAATTACAGGGCAGCAAAGAAAGTTTCACAGATGATCTCCCATAATAATACCTAAAAGAATAGCTGACATCCCAGACACCCTGTATTCCCTTTTCTCGCACACTTTATGAAAGAACTTGGAGAAAAATAGCAGGTTTGAATCCTTCCTTGATACTAGAGCTGAAAAAAGTATGTTTTTTGAAGTTGGTTTCTAACAATGTTACAACTTTTCAAAGGGAT